TGGGAACTATATCATTTGCCGTCTATTTCCTTTGATTTCATACAGATGTGATGGGTCACATTTTTCCCACGTTCTTTTGACCATTTGTTTTTGTCCAATTCCTCCAACTCCACCTAATTCAATGACATGAGAGAAAGAGAGAAGGAAAAAAAAGAAAAGAAAAAAGGTTCAGCTTTGTATCGTAAGGACAAGGCCCCGATCAGCCAACAGATAATTACCTACCTAAGACAGGAAGACGGCACATCTTCCGGCAGTCTGGCGTTACAAAGTACCGCAGTGCCACCAAATATTGGCTATATTAATAACAGTTCCCACGATCTGCTTTGTCTCCCGATTATCACGCGGAAAGTGGATCGCCCTGGCTTGCGGGCGTCACATTGTGACATGCCCAGACGGGTCAACAGTTACATTGATAGTGTGAGAATAGTAAATACAGCTCCATTCCTCCAGACTTATCGGTCAATCTATTATGTCGCATCCAATGCCGGAGTGTCTTAGCAAATTACCTAGCAGAAGGGGGAGAAAAAAAATTTTTTGTCTCCGTCAGCCTTCTCCCATACCAGTCATCAATGACCTGGCCTGCCTCGTCATCACATACATGTCTCCTCAGATCCTCAACAAATGGACCATGATCGTCCCTGAATTAACCTCCGATCACTCCGTATTTGTCCCCATCACCCAAAGATTACAATGGGATCGGCTTGCCTATCCTTGGGTTGACAGCGAGTCTAGTTAAGGGCCTGAGCGGCTGCAAAGTATCTAAATTAGACGTTCAGGGCTGTCATTATTAATTGACTATCCTTTTTTACTTTTTTCTTTCTTTCTGTTTCCCCATTCAGCTTTGTTCCATGGTAACGGTCATCTACTCAAGACCATGTTTGAAATTAGCTCAACCCTCATTTCACCATCAAAGTTCCCTAAACCTAAAAGTATGAAGAAGGGTTTGGTTGATCACAGTACTACTATATCCCCGCTATACTGAATTTCAAGGCCGGTACCGATAGGGATGATATGACTGTATCGACTTCATCGCCCCCAGCCCCAGTAAGCTATGTGGCTATTCCACTGTGAAACTACCTTATCAGCCCAACTCTGGAGCCGAAAGCGATGGGGGAATCTATCTCTGACATTTATCTCTTAGCGATCCGAGTCACGAGGTAGCGATATTAGCCGATGCATGGTGAGAAACCGCCCAGCCAAGGAAAAATGAGAGTCTTTTGGAGGGTCTAGATGATAGCTGGTTAGCTATTACCTCGTGGTGCCTTTTCGATCAGAGCTTATTCCCGCAAGAGTAAATACAGACCGCTTCTACTAAAGAGCCAGAATTGCATCGATCCCTGCGTTGGTTGCAGCAACCAATTGCTGACTCGTGGATTAAACCCTGTCGAGGAGGTGGATTCGAGAAGTTAGTTTGCAGTAGTCGAGCAGCTGTACCCCGGGGGGGGCACAGAGTTCGTATGTGGTATGGATTATGGAGTCCTCATGTCGCAGCAGGAGCTGTTCTCCGTACAATGAATTGTTTTACTAACACTCTTCGGTACAGGTACAGCTACATGCAGATGAATGTATGCACAAGCTTGTGGTCGAACTGTATTGACATGGACCCTGTGCCACGGAGCAGCATCGTGTATTTCTCAACATGGAAACCCGATCGCCTATCTTAATAGTACTTTATCTCGAGCACGATTACCGTATCATGGCTTTCCCGGGGAGAAGAAAAATTGGGACACCGGGGAATTCTCCTGCCAGTGGGTTTGGTTTTCTGAGTAATCATCTCAAAGACCTCAAAAAGAGTAATACTACCATACGCGATCAATTTAATTGTGCAATTATTTATTATAATATCAGAATTCAGACTGATGAAAATGGATTCTTTTGGTATTGAGCCATGAAACTAGTTCGCCCGTACTTCGTAAGTAAAAGTCACCCTGGCGGACCCACGTGTCTTCCTTGCAAATTAGATTTAAGGAACGAGCTGCCAGCCATTTCACGAACCACTAGTTTATGGGTCTTCCAATTTTCTGCCTTCCCGAGTCTCCAGAAATTATTGTTTTACTATGGTACTTCCGGAGTAGCTTCCGTGGATGTGCCCGTCGGGTCCAGATCAACTCTGACTTGGCCCTCTCGCTATGGTTTCCAGGTTCATGACATGAACACGTTGACTCGATGCACAAATCCTGCTACTTGCATACATGCTATACCGGATACCACCTACTATCTTTTTCTCGATTTGACGTCGCCTTGGAACTTTCATGTGAAAAGATGGAAGATTGCAATGACGTGAAGAATTTAATTTTGTTTTAATTCTGTTACAGGAACCTCGCCAACCAGCCCGATATTTGTTCTCTCAACAAATCTATCGGATATTTCATTTAACATCACGCACTCGTTTTATTACTTGACTAGATTCAGGAGAATGAATGGACCTCGAAGCTGAATCCCTGAGTTAAGGTGGTTCGTCCTCATCCCTCGGAGTATACTCCGTCCTACGTATACTATTACGCACTCCATGAGGTTTGCGATACATAGAAACGGCAATCTTGTTTCTGCACGGACTGTTCATCGGTTGTTAATATTATCTCCCATGTGGACTTGGAGGTGGTCTTTGCGTCAAGCGAGATGGCCCTCGGTCGATCGCAATAAACTCCTAGGTTCGTGGGAGCTGCCTAGAATTAGATGTCTATCCACCATCTCCCTCCTCCTTTTATGCGATATGGGATAGCTCCTTACGGGGTGCATCGTCCGTTTGGTATGTCTTATTTTAATCTCAACGTTTCGGATTCTTTCCTCGACCGAAGTTTATGGTAGAACCCACTGAGGATCGCTGGGTGGGCTTTCCAACGAGTGGTTCGATATTGTGTACTCCCTCCAATCCACATACACCTGAGAAATGAGGTCCTCGAAAGTTTCATTTCGATCGATTCTTTATGGACGATCCGAGCTATTTTTAGGGTATGGACAGTAAGTAGTACCTATTCAGGAAATTGCAATACTCCCCGACCCGTGGTGACAAAGAACCGCCCATATGAATCCTGAATGCTATATGACGGACCTTAACCGCGGTTCAGGAGCACATATACCAAGACGCTTAAGGGTGGCTGGGAAATTCTGCGTAGATCGGGGCGTCTATCGACATCGTAATTCTCTCCCAGGTTTAGAGTTCGACTTTAGTCCTACTACCTACTATAATAAACTCCCAGGTCTGGTCAGATAAGGGCCTCCTTCGTCCTGAGTCCTCTAAGTAAATATGAAAGATCGCCGCTATAGCTTCAAGATGCTACGAGCAGCGGCACCGAAAGGCCGGTCGTCGTTCTACCCCAAATAGGCATCTGTATCTGGTAGCTGAGACTGAACCAGACTGCCAAGGAGGGTTTTCACATCGTACGTTCGGTTCTGAGTAACTTATTGGTATGCAAACAAATAACTAGACTGTAGACCATGGCGGCAGAGACGATATGCCTACATGAAGGGTTCCAATAGCAAACACAATGGCTGTGGGGGGAATCTGCAAGTAGGACAACGTCTGACTGCTTTCTACGAATCAGCTGACATTTTTCACAGTAAATTGTTGAACAGAAATTCATTCATGTTCGTTGTTGAATCTCAAGGATGATTTTGCCAAGAATAAAAACCTCCGACCCCGAAGGCGGTCAATCCCTCTATCGATAACCGTTTTTCGCTTTTTTCCCGCTTTGCGACGGACTCGGCATCAATTCTGATAGCTTCACAATTGAGGGACCGCAACCAAGAATATATCGCAAGGCACTTAGAGAGGAGCAAACAGGTCATTTCAAAATCCTGCCACTTCCCGAGAACGTGCATTACAAGCCCCTACCCGGTACCGTGCTCAACGCAATTACCTGAGCATCTCGTTCCAAGAAATCCCATTCTACCTTGTCGCCAGCAAATCCGAAGTTGACCTCACAACTTCTTCTCGAGTGTCACTGCACCCCTCCGCCCGTGCCACCCTGCGTACAATATCCACCATGCCTGCCTCCGTGCACTCCCAAGACCAGGACCAGTCCATGCTGGACGCCACCGCCACGGCGCCTCAAGAACAAGAACAGCAGGTCGAGCAAGAAGAGGTGTTGGAGGAAAAGCGGATCACTGTCGTTCGTCTCTCTCGACATTTGAGTTTCGCCTAAATAAAGCGAAGATGCCCGTTGCTAATTCATAAAATGACAGCTTCCCGGAGCCACCGAGACAGCAGCCTCTTTCCAGTTTGACGGCGAGGGTCATACATTGGGTAATGCGCTACGATATGCCATCATGAAGAAGTATGTGCTGCTGTTCATTTATTTTGTCGTTGTCGTCGTTCTTGGCTGTTGTGCTGGTTCGTATATATGGCATTGCTGACAGCTTGGAACAGTCCTCAGGTTGAATTCTGTGGATATACTATTCCCCATCCTTCGGAGACGAAGATGAACTTGCGTATTCAGACTTATGGTATGTTCGACTGTCCTCTTTTCCGTGGATTGCGGCCTTGCTCGTCTCTTCTCGACAAAGCTAACCCTGGAATCCAGACACAACGAATGCAGTGGAAGCACTGGAGAAGGGCTTGGATTCCCTGATGGACTTGTGTGATGTTGTTACGGACAAGTTCACCGCCTCTCGTGATGCCTTCAATGCCTCCGAGGCTGATAAAATGAGCTCTTGAATCTCTTAACCATTTTCTAACTTGCATTTACTTTTGATTTGTTCGGTCTGGGGTGTTTGTCTGGCGTTGTGTACACTTAGATAAAAGTTTTGCCGTTGGGTTCAGCATTATTCATGCCCTTTCGGCAACTCAGCCATTGTTATTATAGACTATTGATATCATACGCTATGTATCAAGAACATATGGGTTTGGTGACATGCTCACCCGATGTAGGGCTTTTTGGATAACATAGTACATACAAATTGCGGATACCCGTAATGGGGTGGACCTTAGCTAGTAGAATCCAATATTGTCGACATGTATCTTCTCAAATTTGTTAGGCTATTGGAACTTGTAAGAATGGGGTACCGTCGCACTTAATTGTACCACACGTACACTACATCTATCAAAGACCGGTGAACTTGACAAATCCGACGTTAGCTACTCAGACAATATTTACATAACACTCTATCGGTGCAATCCCCGAACCAAGGTAGAAATCTCAATGCAAAGGTACTCAAGAACAGTTCAATTCAATTGCGGCCTTCCAAGAAGCCCGAGATGAAGTTAGGAGGTAGGCGGGCACCGGGGTCTTCCTCTGGACGGAAGTACTTCATCACATGAGAAAGCTGCTTCCAGTAGTTAAGAGTTTCCTAGAGCGTAAGAAAGAAGCATCAGTATACTTGATGCCCCATTGAGAAGGTCATGATTGCAACGGGCCAAGCGCAACCGTGCACTCGGAACCACCGCATCTCGGCAAAGACCGAACTGGAACTAACCTGGAACTCAGAGTGGCTCTGGAACAGCAGGACATCGACAGCACCGAGCTGCTTCACGTAGCGGTGCTTCTCGAACTCCTGGCGGACCTTGGTGCGGATGGCGGATACGGGCATGTTCAGGGAGTACATGGTCTGGATCTCGGGGGACTGTTCGGTTCAATGGGTTCCATGTTAGTTTCTTTTTTCGCACTTGAGGATAATGATGCGGTACGATCCTAGGTCGAGCGACTGGGTTCGTCTGTGATATCGACCGTCGGGAACCCTCCACGACTACCCACGCCAGAACACCAGCAACGGCAAGAATTGGGGCTCACTGACCGCTCTAAGCCATTCTCTGTAGGACTTGAGGACACGGGCCCTGGCGTCGGTCCAGTTGACAGCTGTTGGAGGCGAGGTGGTTAGCTTTGCATTTTCGTCCATTGACATCGCGGCAATTTCTAAAGGTCGGACCGGCTCGGTCTGCTGGGAGCAAGGTGGACGTACAGGAGCGTGTGCGCTGCGCGAGATAGGTGGGATTGATGGTCATGTTGAAAATATGTGAGTCTGCAACCCCAAGCCGGGCACTCAACAATGGCACACTAGGAGGGGGAAGAGGGGAGAGACGCTGGGAAAGAGGGTCGACGTTCCTTTCGGGCTTGGGTTAGCGTGACGATGAGATGGGATGGTGGAGGTCGGATCATGCTCTTGGCGGGATCCTTTCACCGCCTGCCTGTTTCAAAAAATTTCTGCGCCGTTCTCTCTTTGCGAAACGGGGCTTTGGTCTTGGATTCTTTCATTTCGTTTTTTTACTTCATTTTTTGCTTTTCCCATTGAGACTGTTGAGTCTTATATCTCTGGTGTGGTAGTCTAATTCTATTGTTGTCGATCCAACGTTGTGCAATTTATCGTCCTATCTCGCTTGTGGCGTGACTTGGTCGAGAGTCTTTCTTCATCGCCGGGTCTCTTTTTGAATCCCCACGTGCATGCGATAAACCTCATAGATACTACCGAAAATCAAACAGAAAATGGCAGCAAAACCGGGCTCGGCCAAGTCCTCGGGCAAGGACTCGAATAAGAGCAAGCCTCTTTCTTCGGCATCGAAAGTGAGCAAGAAAGCCGTCAAGCGCCCGCCGCCAAAGGAAGTTAAGTCGAAGGCGCGCACCGAATCCAGCCAGCTGAAGAAGACAAAGAAGAGAGAGTATACGGAGGAGGAATTGGACCTGCCGAAGTTGAATGCAATCACGCCTGTTGGAGTGGTGAAGCCTAAAGGGAAGAAGAAGGGAAAGGTTTTTGTTGACGACCAGGTATGTCTACGGGTGGTATGGTTCCTCGCCTATATACCTCGTTGCTAATGCGCTTTCGCAGGAGGGAATGGCTACCATTCTTGCTATGGTCAATGCCGAGAAGGAAGGGCAGATTGAGTCCAAGTTGCAGAAGGCCCGTCAGCTAGAGGAGATCCGAGAAGCGAAGAGAAAGGAAGCCGAGGCTAGGCAGGCTCAGAAGAAGAATAAATTCGTGCGTTATATTACTCCGAAGATGTGTTTTCTTCTCCAGGGAGGCCATAAGATACTAACGAGAATCTGCGAACAGGAGGAGACCAAGGCAGCGATTCGTCAAAAGCGCAAGCGCAAGGGTGATAGCAATGAAGACACGAAAACTGATACTACAGCAGCTCATACCAATGGGTCGTCTTCGAAGTCTAAAGGGAAGAGGAAAAGTGTTTCATTTGCTTGAGATTTTCTGTACAAAAGTATTTCTGTCTATACCAAGTCTATGTATCTAGATGGGGTTTGGCGTTTCCACCGGTCTATGTTCTGACATGAATGGCAACTCATGACAATCTTCTTGCTTCATAACTCACACCTGAGCGACGGCTTCGGTCATTATAAGCTGCGATTGAACAATTGCTTCCTAAGCTTAGTTCAAGAGTGCAGACGGGAATTCCAGTTTGCGACGCATGGGATTGAACTCCGGTTTGGGTGTTACATCGAGATTGCTCGTGTGGTTGACAACGTGGCCTGGAGCCTTCTCGGGGTTCTCGACCAAGAATGGAGTTTCAAGGTCAACTTCCTTGGCCATGAGGTTTAAGAAATTGGTCACCTGTTGACGTGTTAGGCGTGGAATAGCAGTAGTAATGGTAGACAACAACTTACTGGCTTCACAAACCATCTGCTGCCTCCAAGTTCAAACCAGCCAAGATGCCCACCCCAGGACGTCGTCATCATAACACCATAAGGAGTTTGCCCAATTTCCTGGAAAGGAAGTGATTTGACGGTAGCAATCTGTTGCTCGTCAGCGCATGCGAGTAGTCAAATCCAGCGTGTCGAACTCACGGGGTCATCTTCAGCTTGGACAGCAAAGAAAGGTATCTTAATAGCAAGCAGCGAATCAACGGACGAAGCATCACGATAGTAGGCACCCTCTGTTGGGTAACCCCATGACGCACATTGCAAAGCCCTAATACCAATTGACAGGTCAGGAACCACCTCAAGATAATATCATATAGCGTGGCCGCTCACCGGTCAAACTCATGCAAGTATGTAGTACTCCGAACCGCATCAATATCAACTTGAGGATTCTTGGAGACCTCCTCTACGTGCCTAATAGCATTGGCTGTTAGTCGACCAGCAGTAAGTCCGGGTATACGGAGGACAGCCTACTGTTCAAAAAGTCGTTTCATGTTTGATCCCATCACCTTACTGTAGACCTCGAGTCCTATCCAGCTGCTTTGCAAAGTCACGGAGCTTACATCTAGGTTCCAAGGGCTTGCGCAAAGTACCGCGGCTTTCAACTGACAAGCTTCACCTTCTTCGCCCAAATACTGTACAAGTCCAGTCCATCAGGATACAGCCAGCAACCTACGCTAGAGATGACTTACATTGGTGAGGATATTTGCGCCGAGGGAGAACCCGATCCCAAACAATGGCCGGTTCGGGAATGTTTTCCGCAGCCACTTGACAGCTTGACGGACATCCCACGTGGCACGGGCATTATACAGCACGCTGCTGGTTATCTTGGTTTGAGCACATCCCCTAGAATTGATAACACACGCCTCCCATCCCCCATCAGCAATGAGAGGTGCCACGACATGGCGCAGGTAAATCTCGTGTGAGCCACCACTCAGGCCATGGAGAATAACAAGCATGGGTTTCGTATCATCTGAAGGAAGCGCCTCAAATTCATCTGCTGCGAAGAACGCTGTCCTTTCCGGCAAGCCCGATGGCTGCGTGTATTTTCTCTCCTGATCTGTCAGTTGACTATCTTTGGGAGCTTCGAATGGATCAACGACGAAATCCACCGCGAAATGCCCGCTGAACATCGGGTTATCGGCTTCGAACATCCAGCGCTTGTAGTATACAGGAACGTCATCAAATTTCACCGTGGTCCAGGCCGTTTGGAGATGGCCGTTGAATAAAAACGGGTTGAGCGGACATGTCTCTGGTGTGGCGGTACGACAGAGATCCGTCAATGTAATCTGTTGTTTAGTTCCTTTCCCGACTTTCTTCAGAATTAAGTTATTGTCTTTTGCGTGGAAGAATGAAACACGGCCACTCGGACGCAACCATGATAGCATGCCCATTACGAGCAATCCCGACAGTAGAATTGGCACCGAAAAGGAGGTCAAGAGAGTAGTAGCAGAGGTCTCAGCAGAGGCCATACGGGCTAAGAGTAAGGAGATTTATCACAACCGACCACGCTTGTAGATAAATTAATATCAGTGGAAAACGGAAAGAAAGAAAAGAACAAAAAGACAAAAGAAATGAAAATGGAAAAAATGGAAAATTAATGAGATGTCGGACCCTTCCAATAATAATTGTTCCAATTATATTTATTCCCAACAAGTTCTTTTGCGCCGTGATTCATGTGCCTCGGCATCATTGCCCGATAGGGGAATGCATGACATAAGCACCTTATCTCGCGACCAGTGACTGTGCTATGCCTTTTTGGGTATAGCCTGATGTTGATCAGTCAGCCTCCAGATGACTCAGCACGTGATGTACGTCATGGACATCACGAGGCGCCAAAAAGGATTGTCAGTTGACAAGAGTCATGGCGGCGTTTGTATCTCTTTCCTGGTCAGGCTAGCTGGGTCGCAAACACTCTTAAGTTCAAATCCCCTGTCTGCAATCAAGGACATTCCGGAAGTTAGGAATCGAGAGATGTGTGCAATTCTTTTTGCGGTTACCAGCTTGGATGCCGGATGCGGAAACCAACTATAGAATGGAACATGGCATCATAGACCTCTTCAACTTTAGCACCCACTTTCTAAAAATTTTCTGGCAGGAATTCTGATACAATACCAGTCAGCAGGCTCTCCTGTTGAGCTTCCACTTTACTTGCATTAAATCAGTCAATACGGAATCGGTATGTAATTCTTATAGCAGTCATTACACTGTGACCCTGCCGCGTGCGCCGTTTGCGTGCGAAACCGAGAGCATTCGTGTGGACTACTTCAAGGTCAAAGGTTCTTCCTTCTACACACACATACCCTCTCTCTCTCTCTCTTCCCTCTTTCTCGTAGAGTCACCTCTTTGTCACGCGGTACGCTCCCAGTCCTCTTATTATACGCCATGAGACTCCAGCTACAGCAAGAGACGACTTGGCTTCCATCTCACCTATGACTCTCTGTCAATCCCTAGATACATACCCCCATACAAAACCCTCAAAAATCCGAGAACAACTCAAGAAGGTCCTAGTTCTCGGTACAGCCTATGGTCAAGATTCACGGTTTTCCATCGATATGGCATATGGTCTTCGTCGTGCTGGGAAAAGACTAAAAACTCTCACAAAGATGCATCTCTGGTCACGAAGTCCAGACAGGTCAAATCCTGACTCCAGGAAACGCTGTTACCTCCTCGAATTGCCCACTGAGCTACTGTTGGAGATCATTTCTCATCTACCAGTGCTGGCAGAAGCCTCTCTGGCATTGACGTCTAAACGTCTGTTTGCAATATCCGGTGCAATCCTGGACTCCAAGTCACTGCATTTCAATCGGGATTTCGCACCACTTTTCCATCATTACCGAAATGGGCACAACTTCGTTACTAGTCGGTGGCAATTCATTAAAGTGTTAGAAAACAACACATGGCGAGCTTGCTCGAAATGCTTGAAGCTACATCCACGAACTTTGTTCTCCGCACGAGAACTCAAACGAAAACCCGAGGAACGAACTTGTGAACTAGGAAATCTCGCAGGCATAGTTGATCTGTGTCCATGCAAGAAGCTAACATTTCGAGATAAAATGGACCTCGTCGAACTCCTGCTGATGCGACAGAAATCGATAACAGCCTTGACTGCACAGTTTGGGACGGGTATCCAGGAACGTTTCTGCTGGCATACCTGCACCGAAAATTATGGCTCTACAGAATTGAAGATTGAATTGTTTCCAGAGCTAGACGAGAATGGCCAGTTGAAGATAAAAACGGAGTATCAGCTATCGACGGGGTCAGGGCAGCTAGGGAAGGAAGAGTATATCACACCTCGCTTTGGATGCGCACACCGATCCGTTGATCTCTGGCTCTCCAGCGTTTGTCAAACCACTATTTGCCGACTGTATGACAGTTTCTGCGCCTCCTGCCAGCGAATATCCGTTTGCAACTCCTGTAATTCTTCGTTGAAATGCCCTCGCAAACAACCTTGTCATGTTGACGAGAACTCCGGAAAAGCCACATATTTCTTTTGGACTGAGAGATGTCTTGGGGGGACATCCCCTGTTCCGGACCAAGCATGGGCCCTGCAGAGAATTCATCCGGCAGAGAATACGATCGATGTGGACAACTGCAGCGAGTTATGTCCTTGGACCATCCGCGAACATCCTCTCAACGATCCCCCGTCTCTCGAAATGAACATTCTAGAGCCTGGTATGCAGAGCCAGTCAATGGATCAATTATATACATCGATTAATATGATCTGAGTGTATGGAACGCAAGGAGAGGAAGGTTGGGTGGACCATGTCTAGCAAAGGGAATGGTTCAGGTTTTGTATAAAGGCGCTATTTTGGGATTTGGTGTTGTTATATGACCCGACATTTTCTTTTCTTTGTTTGCTTCTTTGTCTTTACCGTGTAATTATTTCTTGTTGGTTTAACTCTTTATAAATACTAGTATATACTAGAGGTCTAGAAATATACTTTGCACTTCTGTGGTGAATATATGTAAGCCTCTTGGGAGTGCTGATCCGGAATGGAGGGTAATTCACTCCCTGTTCGGCTAATGTATATATGAGACTGACGAGTGTCTATCCGACACAGACAGTTGTCCATGGAATGGGGTAATAGAGAAGAACCATGGATGTATGAACATATATGCGAAGTACGTCCTCTGCCCGAGAGACTAGGGCTTCTTTGTCTCGAAACTGACCGCCTTGGGGGTTTCTCCGAAGCCGACCTCAAAAAGGACAAGCGGATTTACTAGCAATATCGCGATCAAAACGCCCCCCAAAGGATATCATCAACTTCTACTTCTAAATGAACGAAAGTATAGACTCCAGGAAAAGCAGAGTGCAGCGATCACCACGAAGCATTATCTGCGTCCTGGGGCGATGAGCTATCCACCACCACCACCTCATAACGGCCAATATCCTTCGCAGTACCTGCAGCAGCCTCCTATTCAACCCCAGCAGACCATCCAGCCGCAGCAGCTACTGTACAATAATGCCCACCCGAACGTTTCGCCATATCAATATGGCAAGCCAGTCGTTTACCCTCAGGTCATGATCCCGGCGTATCCCGCCTATACACACCCGTATAATCAACAGCCACAACCACAACCACAACCACAGCCTCCACCTCAACCTCAACCGCCGCCGCCGCAACCACAACCGCAACCGCAACCGCAACAGCAACAGCCGCAACAGCAATATGTGAACCCATCCGACTTGTTCAACACACCACCCCTCCCTTCGATATCACCCTCCCAGTTTACCCAGAGGCCATCTCAATATGGTGGACAACCTGCGGCCTCTACCGCCGCAGCCAGTAGCCTCTCCGCAGCACTCACCACCCCCGCCGCAACGCAACCAACGTACTACACAGCTGCCGGCCCAAACCAAGGGAACCAGGTCTATAGCAAGCTTCCACAGGCCACACCAAGTGCTACACCAAGTACAACACCGAAACCTACCCCGAAGCCTACGCCGAAACCAACACCAAAGGTTACACCAAAGACGATGCCCAAGACTACCGCCGCGATTGCACCAAATCCCCCAACTGTTCGACCCCCACCTGTTACCGCAACTCCCCCGGCACTATCACCCAAACCTGTACCCCAAGTATTGATCCCAGCCCCTTCCCCAGAAATACAACAGAAATTACAACGGCCGCCGGCCAAGAAGCAAGCGCAGCGACAAGCTGGACAAATGGGCCCCCAAAAACCAGCAAAGCCTGCCATCGACTATCAGGTCCTGCTCCTGGCGATGGCAGATGAATATCTCAATGCGGCCCACAATAACGGAACCATGGTCGCCTTGCTGAAACAAGAATTGGAAGTGGAGGAATACTATAAGTTGGTTGCAACAGGTCTTGGTTGCTTGGAGGCGGTGTTGAAGGTTGGTGTGAACTTGCCTCGCTAATATCGATCTTGCCTACTTCCGACTAACTCTCTTTAAATCTTGTTAGAACTGGAGATTGCAACCCCGAGTCGAAGCGCTTGTGCGATTAAGGTATGCGCGCATTCTGTTCGAGGAGACGGACAACGATCTCGAAGCGGAGACCGCATTGAGCAAAGGCGTATGTTTAACACCTATGAACTCACTATCAAGCCACGCTGCTAACATTCTACTGATAGATTGACTTGTGCGAGCGGGTGAGTCGCTTTGCGTTCAGCTCTGTATTCTGTTGTTGTGTCCCTGGTTACTTACAACATCGCAGAACCGTATGCTGGACTTAAAATACAGCATGCAACATCTTTTGGCACGGATGCTACATAAGACAAACCCTAAGGCCTCAATGAAAGCTGTGGATGGGATGATCCAGGATGTAGAAGCGTGAGTGAATTCCAAACTCGCGGTGCACAGATCATATGCTGACTAGCGTAGATATCGCCACTCTGCCTGGGAGTATGCATTTCGTTTCCTTCGGGTATCCCTCTCACTGTCTTCCTCAGGTCACCAAGACTCCGTTGCAGCTCTGCAACATCTCCACAAGATCGCTAATATGGCCAACCGCAATGGTGATAAGGCTGTTTCGGCCATGTCGGCCGTCATCGAGGCCCTTGCACACCTCCAACAGGGATCCGGCTTCGACTCCATTGAACAGGCTCAACGTGCCCTGGCGGTTGCTCGGAGTCACCAGCTTAATGATGAGCTTCGTCATATACCGCAGCTGACGACACTGGTGCAAATGGTCGATATTTGTTGCAGCCTTCTTGAATATGACATCAATCAATCTTCACAGAAGCTGAAGAACCTACAAGACTTGATGGACGAGCGATTGAACGACCCCAACTGGCGTGCCGATGGATCGTTCTCCATACCTCTAAGCGGGAAATCAGCAGGACCATCGTCAATAGACACGGGGGACATTCTTCAGGTCCAGAATGGCACATTGCTCTTGAGCTTTAATTGGCTACCTCAGCATGATCTTTATGCGCTTTGCTATTTCTTAAGTTCAATTACGCTCAGCTGCAAGAACTCATACGATGGCCGTAAAGCCGAGAAATTCCTCCAGGAGGGGATACACATGATACAAGGCAAGCGCCACGTCCACTTTTGGTGGTTTAACGCTAAATTGATGCTAACTTCGTCATCCAGGGAGCTTCAAATCGCCACAGGACATCACCGAGTCAATGGTCAATGCGAATAGGCGGGTAGAATGGCGCAGGACGCTGTACTGCAACCTCCTCCTTCAACAAGTTTTCCTTGCCTGTGGCCGCACGGACTGGGACCTTGCCAGCAAAACGCTGAAGGACCTCCGACAGGAAGTCCAAGAGCTTGGCGAGTGTCTACCTGATACTGTCCAATGTCTGATGGAGTATGCTGCGGGTACCATTGCACAAGCAACTGGTGATCTGAAAGCTGCTCTCGATGCGTTTCAATCCCCTCTTCTTTCGTTATCTCCGTCGACGAGCAAAACAGCCCGCAATGACCCCCGGCGTGACATTGCACTTCTTGCAGCTCTCAATACCGTTCTCATACTACGTGATCCAGCTCATGCGTCTCATTTTCAGCTCCCCAACATTCTGGCAACTGTTGAGTCGTTTTGCAAGGGTAGCCCCAACAAATATATCCAGGCAGCTTACTATCTTGTATGCGCTACCGTACAGACCGAATCAACCATACAGACCAAGCAGTTCCTTCAGCAAGCTTTGCAGTCAGCCACAGCAATCAGCAATAGTCAGATTACTTGCATGACCCTAACGTTCATGAGTTGGAAGTATTTCCGTGGGGTTGTCGGTGAACAGGCCGAAAAGAGCGCACGAGCAGGGCGTGCAATGGCAAAGAAAGCCAACGATCGACTCTGGGTCAGTGTCACGGACGAGATGCTCGCTGAAACTCTGGAGAGGCAGGGAAAGAATGATGAAGCGAAAGGTGTCCGCGAGGAGGGCCATCGAGTAATGATGGGATTACCGTCAGCATTGAAAAAGCCCGCCTAGCTCCTGAATCTTGTTATTCTCTTTTTCTTGTGTTCTTTGTTATACAGGTGTGACTTTCTGGGTCTTTTATATGATACCATTTAGGGTCTGAGGTGTATAGGGTATAACGGCGCAATGAAGACATAATAGGCATCATTTCATGGCTTTCTCCGTCATGTTGTAGACATGGTGTTCAAGGAATAGATTCTACGATTTTGACCAAACGGAATTCCCTCAGCTTCTGGTGAAGCAAGTACTTCATACCCTTTGAAGGCCGTTGTCTGTCGACTGTTTTACACCGGTTCACACATTGCAGCCTTGACCAGACCACGATTGATGGAGGTCAGGTGCTTGTTAATCGGTTAGGTAGCAGTAGAGTATAGGATTAGGACAGGTCCAAAATTCAACGACTGTAGCGTAAAACAGGTATCTTTTTCTTCGTTTCTTCTCCCCTTTCCATAGGCTATGCACAGCTCTATCGGAGTACACTAGCTACGCAAGTCACTAGGAGTATACATATACTTCATGGCTTGTCTAAGCCTATCTTTTATTGGGATTCACGTCTTGGTTCTGCGGTAACACAACAAGTAAGGAAAATAATGAACCAATTGCCCATGGATGCGAAAACTTTCTCACGTTGTCCTTGACCCCATCCAGAGCATACTTCCCACTTGATACGCGGAAGGCACAAGGCACAAGGCACAAAATCGGAATCGCATATCACCTTTCTGTTACCAGAGAATCAACCTCTGCCTTCAAGTTTGGAGGCAAACTCTCATATCCTTGGATCAAAAACACTGCCTTTTGAATCCGAATAACATTTTGCGTCCCGGGGTCCGAGCGAAACTAGGCCGGATATAAAACCAGAAGGAACAACCCAATAGGTGCATCATCCTGCATACTCGCAAACCTCGCAGCCTGAGGGTTAAGCGTCTGGTGAGTATGGACATCCATGAATATGAAATCACTTAAATGGCCCTTGTAGATGATTCTAGATAGCGTCCCCTTGGCACCTACATCTCGATACCGTTCCCACTGGTATTGTTCCGGTGAGCAGCTCAGTTTCAGCGCAAGAGCTGCAATTTGTGGTAAGACCTGTTTCTCCAGTCTTCCAAACTTTTGGTCCCAATCGAATGTTCCCTCAAAGCTGAAACAACCGAAAAAACCACGCAAATACTCCGCCAATCCAGCGCAGTGCTGAATAACCCTATCCTTATGCAGTTGAGTTGCAGTGTAGGCCCTCACTGTATCCGACCGCCAAAGATTAACGCTTTCAATATCTACCAAGATAAGCTATCGCATGTATTCAATGATTGAGGGTGCACCAACCTTTTTTCGGTTCCAGCATCATCATCCCTTTATGGAGGTATTCCATGAGTTCTTGATCAGCTGGTGGTGCGGCGAATACTCTAGGTTCGAGTACATGTTTTTCAATAACACAGAAGCTAATCCATGTCAATATCTCAGTTTGTGCGTCATCAAATTCTAACTGAAACGTTCTCTGAAGGGCGAATATGTTCTCACAAATACCTCGGCGGTAGATGGCATCATAAACTGTTTCGGTGAAAGACTTGATATCAGGAAATCCCTCCACCCACTCGCTGAGGCTATCGCGGAATACCATGAAATCCTCGGAAACAGTCGCATCACTAAGCTGGTAGTCAGGTATAGATCTAAAAATTCGCGCTTGAAGTTCAACCTCCAACTTCTGGATGCGTTGTTGTGCGTTCTCCAATTGCTGTTCCATCTGCTCAATCTTGTTCGCTTGCTGTGAGATGCGTTGGCTAACCAGGTCCACATCCTCATGGAGGGAGGCTGCATTTCGTTTCAATCTCGCCAAAGCACTTCCTGCTGGGTATTTGCTTCGGTTTGAGTCTCTCGAAGATGTGGTTTCTGGTACGTTGCCAACTAAAGAATCATTTTGATCCTAAAAGACGGTTTATTGCCTCAGGGTACTGGCGAAATCCATTATGACCGAGAGGTATACATAAGCTGCAGCTTTTGGTGATCGAGGAACTATTTGCATCCATTTTCTTTCTGTCGCAACGAACAAAGTCGAGGGAAAAGGAAGGGAAG